GAAATTGAAGAGACATTTCAACGTCGGTGGTCGTCAGGAGGGTGGGCATTTTGAAGTTTTGGGGCCTTGCAAGGGCCAGGACCGCGTAGGACCGGTAGCTGGCCGTAGGAGGCTGAGGAGGCCGCGGTCCTTAAGCCTTTTTCGAAACTGAAACGGCGTGGCTCCACCGTTCTCGAATAGCAGAGGAACTCGAATAGAACACGCACACGTTGTATTCGAATACAACGTGTACCCTTTCTATTTGGATTTCGAAAAGAAAAACTCTTGTATTCCAATAAAATTACCTTCTTTTTTTTTTTGGAGGTCAGCGTCTGCCCTTTTGCTCCCTGCCACTGACATGCTGCATGCTGCAGGTCTCTCTCTCTCTCTCTCTCTCTCTCTCTCTCTCTCTCTCGCACACACATGCATGCGCACACGCACACAAATGCATGCGCACACTCTCTCTCTCTCTCACGCACACATACGCACACACGCACGCGCACACTCTCTCTCTCTCTCTCACACACACACACATATATACACACACACTCTCTCTCACATACACACGCACGCACATTCTCCTGTCTATTGATGGGGAGTGCCACCTGCTGGAAACTGGGTCCAACGTCCCATGAACATCGCGAATAAAGCACCAACTGGGACCGCGCACACACACTCTCTTCGAGTTGTGTATAGCGAACGTGACAAAACATACGTACAGCATAATCACTACCTTATCCTTCCCGAACCACATCAACAAACAAACTATGGGCTGCGCACCCGTGCCCTCGCGGTAAGTCAATTGGTGTACACACCAGGATCAAGAACCCGGGACACGCTTCGACCACACCAAGGGCGCATCGAGGCAATGCAGAGGTCGTAGCACGGGGCCTGGGTCACAGTCAGGAGGTCGTGCACAGGTCTGTCTGGCTCAGCCGATGGCTCAGCCGATTACGAGCAATGTATCTGCTCTTCCGGCTCGTCACACGTGAAAGCGTATTCCCGCAGCGCCGTTGGGGGCTCTGCAACTTTGTGTTTACCTTGCCCGGTCCCTTGTTCCTCTTGCTTGCGCATTGTCGCCTATGTAGTCTTTCCTTCTCACATCCCTGTGCTGTCCCTCCCTCCCTCTCTCCTCCCCGCATCCCCCGCTGGGGCTTGCTCGCTACTGAAAGAAGAGGAGATGAACGAGGGAAGAAAACAAGGAAAGCTACATACAGCACGAAAGCATGGCTGACATGCTTCACCATCTTTTCTGTCCATTATGGCATCAGTGGCGCAGGGGATCATTATGTCCGAGAATGGAGTAATTTTTGTGCTTGGTAATTGTGTTGACGATTCATTTTTTGTAATTGTTGTGGTCATTTTTTGTTCTTATTGTTATTATTAATGCTGGATGGTTACTTGTTGAGTTGTGCTTAATGTGATCCTACTGTCTTCCCCGAACACAATGCGCCTCATTTTGACTGTATGGGACTGGAAAGGTAGTGTGCACGCATTCATACTCACGGTGCGTTGTGTTCGGAGGAAGACAGTAGTCCTCACCTCACCCTCGTGTTCAGATGCTTTAGCAAATCCGGAGTTTGGAAAAGGAACTTTATTTACTATTTATGAGTTGCTTTTGGGCTTTTTTTCCCTTAATTTGCTTGTTGTGTCAGGGGGTTGGAATGTATCTCGTAGTTACTTTTGCTCTCTGAGGAAAACGGCAGACTGTGTTTTGGCCTTAAGGAGTTATAGAGCTTAAGGGCCTTTTGCTCCACCACTCTCGAAATGTGCAAAATGAGAGTGAATCTTCCGCCAGAACAAGGAAAGATACATCGCCATGATTTTTCTCTTTTGTGCATTTCCGGAGGAGTGGAGCGACGCCCTAAAGCACAGTTATCTAACGGTTCTCAGAGATTAATAATACCACCTTTCCTGTGTCCTTTTGTTTTGTTTTTGTACCCGCTCGCAAAGTTCTTTGTTTTCACCTCGCTTGGCTGTTTGTCCGGGGCCCTGGGCAACTCCCGCTTGTGACCAGATACACACTCCCAACCCCCGCTTGTGACTGGATACACACTCCCAACCCCCGCTTGTGACGGGATACACACTCCCGAGTCCCGCCCTGGGCATGGATTTCGGGCAGGTTCAGTCCCAACGTCCAAAAAAAATAAAATAAAAAACTTCCAGCAAAAAAATGTGTTGTGTAGAATTGAAACGCAAACGACTTGCCTCAGAAGTCCTCATGGAATCAAAGATAAAAAATGAAAACAATGGAATCAGACCAAGGCACCCCCTTTTGAACTCCTTTAGCCCCTCAAAAGCTTCTTCGCACTCCCCCTCCCCCACTTTGACAGCCAACACTTGAAAAAAGAAAGGAGCCTGTATTTGGGCTCCTCTGGACATGCGCAGAAAACCTCCACCTGGAAAAAGGAAAAAGAAAATAAAGGGCTTATTTTTGCCTGTGCAGGTGACCCCCGGGCGGCTTGCCCGGGGTTCACGACCATGCTGCACAGCCGGGTGAGCCAAGTGGCGTAGGTTTTCACGTATTTTTAGACCACTTTTGTGAAACGAGGGAGTCGACGAGTGCTGTTTGGCTTGAAAATCAAGGACAACATCATGGTCCAGGAAAGTATGGGAGGAGAGTTTATATTGGGCAAGTATGGGCATGCTCACGTATGACTGTTCGTTCTCTCTCTCTCTGTGGGCGTGCACCATGTAGCAGTCCTCTCTCTTTCTCTATAGGCATGCGCACCCGTAACAACTCTCTCTCTCTCTCTCTCTCTCTCTCTTTCCGATTTGTTTCTGTTTCCAATGGGGCCGGCTTCACCCTGTTAGACGTGTGGACGACGGCATTAGCACATACAGGAGGCAGGCATCCTAACCTTTTTGGGCTTTTCGTTTGGCTCAGAATTTTCATGTAATCGCTATGGAAGTTGCCCTTAGTTGGTCCAGCATCCCTTCACATTGTGTACTTGAAGGTGACCTGTACGGCATTCCACGTGAGGGGAAGGATTAAAGGGCAACGCTCCCCAGGTCAGATCTTTGCAGGAATGCACTCACGCTAATCTGCACGCGCAGCAAGTGCTGCCATTGAACGGTGACACAAACACAGCATAAAAGCTGTGATACTGGCAGAGGAAATGATCTTTTGCGGTCCTGTTGTCCTATTCTTCCTTCATGTAGGCCTGGAATTGACATGCCATATCCTGATCACAGAAGATCATGCCCAGTCCGACTCTGCATGCCTTTGGATCTGAAAGGTGGAGCATAGTTGCTGTTGGGGTACCTGCTCGTACATATGCATGTAGCGTCATAGAGTATGTATATATAAATGCATATCTTCATATACGTACATACGTAGGTGTGGTTCAGCCTGTTGATGAGTCTGTGATACTCCGACGAAACCATCTGTAACAGGGGATGTCACTTACATATCGCTGGTTAGGGGACTCTGCAGGCTGTAGAGGGTTCAGCCTTCTGATGAGTCGATGAAACTCTGATGAAACAGTTTGTCACAGCCCCTCGTTTGCTGTCCTCTTCTCCCTCTCTGCCTACGGTTTACCGGGCAGGTTCTCTACAGTAGCATCGTTAGTGGGGCTCTGCAGACTGTAGAGGCCCTCCGGATTAGAAACAGTCTGTCACAGCGCCTCTTTTGCTTTCCTCTTCTCCTGCTTTGCCTGCGGTTCATCTCTGTCACAATCGCAACAATGACATGGTTCTGCATCCATGTATGCAGGGGACTGTCCCTCCTTTCCTGACAGCAGGCGCACACCTCTTTTTCAGAGCCTGGCCCAGCGAACTGTAGATGTACAAACAATAAATCTCGTTATGAATATTCATAAATAATCATGTCGAACCAATAAATGGTCGTGTGTGTGTGTGTGTGTGTGTGTGTGTGTGTGTGTGTGTGTGTGTGTGTGTGT